AGTTACGCTAGGAAAATTCCCTGATGCCAAGACACAAATTTCTTCTTCGAGAAACTGACCTGCCAGGCAATGAAATTGGCTACCACTCGGCAGAGGCCTCTGTCTGATTCATCAGAAAATTCTCTCTAGTCTGTATGTCCAAAGTTGAGATGTTTAAGTGTTGTAGTCATGGAGGATTCCCTACATCCTTCCATGTATATTATGGAACTCATACCAATACAACCAAACAACAGGCACACAAGATGGGTACATACCCTTCCCATCCTTCCAACCCCTAAACAACTTTTTCCTATCCTGTGTCCCTCGGTGTGACTGTAGAAGGAATTCTAATTCCCAGGTTTACTTCTGGGCCCTCTCTATGCATTTTAAATAGTGTTACAGCTGTGATGGAGCTGTCCAAAAATCAGGACCCTTTGGGAAGACAAAGGTACTCTTCAGAAGTAAAGTTTGGTAATTAAATTAAAGAACAAAAGGTAAGTCCTGATTAGTTTATATCTAGGGCTGCCAACCTGAATCTCACAGGAACCCTCATTCTTTCAAGCCACCAAATCATCTGACACTACCCCACTGGAAATGCACCTCCTGGGATGGAACACTGGTGCAGTTGACTGAGTGACATGGCAGCTCTTGACAGAGCAGCATATAAGAGAGGAAACACTCTATAAATGTGATACCTGTCAATCAACTAAAAACAACTATGGAAGGGCAATGCACATGGGCCTGGAGAGTGTGTGCTACAGGCAGTTATAGTCAGAATTGCTGTATGGCAACAATTTCTTGGCTTCACTTAGCACTTCTTCTATCTGACATGTTGTATTCCAAGTATCACCATCCCCTTGTGCACTACACCTTGGTTATCTTCCCTCTTTGGTTTAGTCCTTTTTCTCCAGAGTTGTATAACATAGAACAGTGGACAAATGTAAAATATTAATGACTATACTTTAGAGGGGAGGGATAGCTCAGTGGTTTGAGCATTGGCCTGCAAAACCCAGGGTTGTGAGTTAAATCCTTGAGGGGGCCATTTAGGGAACTGGGGTTAAACAAAACACTGTCTGTGGATTGGTACTGCTTTGAGCAGGGAGTTAGACTAGATGATCTCCTGAGGTCCCTTCCAACCCTGACATTCTATGATTCTAATGAGGCCCCTGGTCCATGACTGGGGCTCCAAGGTTCTCTTGCAATTCAAATAAATAATATATTGCACTTACCTTTATCTTCTGAGCACTTCTTTTCCTCACATCCAATAATTCAGTCAATCAATGCTAGCTATAAAAATAGGGACAGCGTTATGGTGTATATGAAATTTACTGCTACTGAGAGCAGATTTTGTCACTTAATGTTTGCATAATGCTGTGAACATGCATTGGTTTGTAATGTGCTATATAAATGCTCATTGTTATAAAAGTAGGAAGCATAATTTTGCTATATACATTTGATTGCAGTAAAAGAGCACAATCTACAGAAGCCCTATAGACCCAATTCTGGTCTCATTTAGGTTAGTGTAACCTCTACTGAACATACAGGCATTACAGTTGTGTAAAAACAGCCATAAATCAGCATCAGGCCCTGTCGGGTAACTATATTTGCCTCAGTACAAGACTGGCATAGCAGAGCTAAGAACCAGGCCCTCTGCTTCTAGAGTTACTAAATAATTACATTCTGCCCAACCACACTAATTGCAAATACTCTCAGCAAAACCCAGGGTTGCAGCACTACCTCAGTTTCCCCACAACCATCACTGGCTTACTCCAGATGCTGTCCAGCGAAGCCATTTTAAAGTGTTCAACCCCTTCCAAGGGGACAGAGTCCTTTGGTCCCCACTCCAATACATCAGAACAAGAGTCTCCTGCTCCGCTGGACTCAGCCTTCAACCCCCTACTTTACACAGGCTCCCACTGGCAACGGCCTGTCTCATTGTCCAGCTGCCACCTCCCCACGTTCCTCCCCAGCCAGGGGAGTCTGCCCCATCTGGGCTCCACTTCCAACTCAGGCTCCAAAGTAACCCTCTGTCAGTGCTTCACCCCAACTTAGCTGTACACAGTCTTTTCCCCACTCTGCTTACAGAGCAGTGCCTTCCTCTGGAGGCCAGCCCCCCTGTTGTTAATCTTTAGGACTTCTTCTCTTCTCTAACTGCCTTCTCTCCTCAGGGTTTGCTACAGAAAAGTCCCTACAGCACCTTTCCTCAGCCAGCGTAACTTACCTGCCTTCTCTCCCCCTCCACTGGTAGCTTTGTCCAGGAACTTCCATTTCTGATGCCTTTTCCTCCTTTTAAGTCCCAAACCATACACAGACATAGCAGGGAAGGGCTAATTCAGCAGGCTGACTGGCCCCAAGCCACCTGGGTCTTAAATGGGCTGGCCACCCTGTTAGAGTTACAGGTATAAGTCGTTTGTATTTGAACCGGTTAAACATTCACTGACTGGCCCTCTTGGGGCACTCATTGGAAATCAGCATTGTCAACTGGTGGGCTGACTAGGCAGGGGCAAAACCAATCACAGAGCATCAAGTCTTTTCCTCCAGGGATCGAGAGAATAAAATCAGTTAACATGAATAGAACATAAACAGAAAACTCCACCAGCATGGGACTCAAGCCAGTCCTAAAACCCAGGTGCGGGCCCATACTCTTCTTGCCTTAACTACTGTGATAGCTTTTGCCCTGAACACCTGTATAATGAGAGCAGGGAAGCTCAGCTGAAGGTAACCTGTTGCTCACTAATGACCAAGTAGTACCCATGTGCGGCCTCATATCATGATAATTAGATGAATGTAAGCTCCCAATATGATGCTGTGGCCAAAAGGACTAATGCAATCCATAGATGTTTAAACTGAGGAATTTCAGTAAAAGTAGAGAGGTTATACTACCTCCGTATTTGGCACTGGTGCAACTACTTCTGGAATGTGTCTAGGTCTAGTGTCCACAATTCAAGGCTGTTGATTGATTGGAGTGTGTTCAGAGAAGAGCTATGAGAACAATAAAGGGATTGGAAAACATGCCTTATAGTGATAGATTTAGCTTATTAAAAAGCAGCTTAAGGGGTGTTTACTTGACCACACTTCGTAAGTACCTATATGGGAACCAGAAATTTGATAATGGGCTCTTCAATCTAGCAGACAAAGATAAAACAAGATCCAATGGCTGGCAGCTGAAGTTAGATAAATTCAGACTAGAAATAAGGCGCACATTTTCAAACAGTGAGAATTAACAACTGGAACAATGGACCAAGGTTTGTGGGGGATTCTCCATCAATGGTGATTTTTTAAAATTAGCAGGATGTGTTTTTCTAAGAGATCTGCCCTAGTTCAAACAGGAATTAATTCAGGGAAGGTCTATGGCCTGTGTTATACAGGAGGTCAGACTAGATGATCACAGTGGTCCCTTCTGGCCTTAGAACCTTTGAATCTCTTGCCTTTAGCTGCAACTTCCAAACTTAGGCATTGAGTAAACAGGAGTTTTAATACAGGGCTAAACAACATAGTTGGTAAAATAACTCACCTTTCACACAGTTTCAAATGCCAGCACATGTGAGAGACAAGGTGGGTGAGGGCCTATCTTTTATTGGACCAACTGCTGCTGGAGACCGAGAGACAAGCTTTTGAGTTTACACAGAGCTCTTCTTCAGGTCTGCTGATTGTGTAGGCTGAAAGCTTGTCTTTCCTACCAACAGAAGTTGGTCCAGTAAAAGATATTACCTCATGCACCCTGTGTCTCTGATATCCTGGGACTAAAATGAATATAACATTGCATAGCACAGGTTGGCCAGCTAACAAACAGAATGGGGGGTAAAGGGGGAGGCAGAGAGTGGAATCCTGCAAATAGATTTTACACATGGATCCTCAATGATATTCCACATGGGAGTGGAAATCTCTGTTTGTGAATCTATTTGCAAGATGGAGCCCTGTTGGACAATGGCCAGACCACATCCCAAAGTGATACATGACCAGATTCGGATGAGGATTTCTGCAGTTAAGATGGAGGTGTAGCAGCTGAGCTAAGTGTGGTGATAATTCCGCAGGCAATGGCCACATTCTGCTTGACTGTAGCCAGTCCTATTAGCCCCCGTTCCCAGGTGCCAAAAAGTCACATAATTAAAAAACAAACCAAATTAATTAAAAATGAGAGTTTGGAAGGTCCCGCAGGGGTACAGTTAGGATTTGCCCTTATGTGGGTAACTGGCAAGACATTGTTGGTATTTTTCTTGGGGGCACCAGTGCTCTATAATACCATCAATTTGTAATTAGAATTTCCCATGGGGTGTGCTACTCAAAAATGATTGGCATGATATGGCTTCATGTCTCCAATGTATACAACACTGAATGGACAAAATCCTCAACAATTTAATACTTTGCCTCCCTGAATAAATATAATTCTCAGGAAGCAGAAATAACCTTCTTTAGGGAAATAATCTACTTTTAATATTTTGCTTTTATGAAGCGCCTGTGAACTGAAGCTACACAAATAAGGTGTAAATAAGATACACAAATAAGGTGTACATTTTGAACCATGAGGGTAATTAACTATTAGAACTTCTGAATTACGGATTCTCCATCACTGGAATTCTTTGATCTAGACTGGATATCTTTCTTAAATATATGCTATAGCTCCACCAGACGTTATGAGCTTTTTGCAGAACTTACTGGGTAAGGATCTCTGGCCTGTGTTATGCAGAAAGTTAGATCAGATGATCAAAACAGTATCTCCTGGCTTTAAAATCTATGAATCTATGAAGTCAGGAACTCAGAAAATGAATGTTCAGTAATGCATGGACAGGTCTTTAAAGGATTGCAAATGTCTGATTTGGATATAATAGACTGTTTCATGGTCTGTATTGCATATGTAATATGATGTACACTGTAAAATAAAAATATGAGAGCAGACAGAATCTTTTTCATTTAAATAATCCCCCTTGGACATAAATGTGTGAATCCATTAAAAATGCACACAAAACAAAACAAATGTAATTTTTAATCTGAAATAGAAAAATATAATTAAGAAAGAGAAGTTTTATTAGGGCAATTTCACTTTATTTTTCCATACAGCAAGGTCAACTATAGCAGTAATAATAAAATAAGCATGGAAACAAATTGCAGCCCAGGACAGAGTACATAATTTGCAGCAACTACAAGCAAAAAGTAAGTCTGTGATTACATAATAGTAAAACCAAGCACATCTGTCCTTTCAGCAGATGAAAGTTGCAGGGTTGCAAGTAAGTGCAACATTATTAATTAATCAGTGTGAATATTGAATATTCCAGATAAAATAATGGCCTAATCATCTTTATTTTCAGCTTTGGCTTATGTAATTACATGGTTTCTTGAGTGCTTTTCATTCAAATGGTAACATTTGATAGGTTTTTGTTTTTCACCTGCTAAAAGAACAGGACCATTACAATAAAAAATAATCACATAACTACAGCTACAGTGTGCTGTTTGGTTTGCCTGTTCATGATTTAATTTTTGTGAAAGTCAATATCCGTTTTGAAGATTTTTGTTTTGTGAACAATAAACCACTGAAATTGTCAGAAACGGCTTTGAATAGAATATATCCTTAATATAGTTGTTGGTTGTTTTTTTTTGTTTTTTATTTTTTTTTGTTTTTTATTTTTTTGTTTTTGATACTTTAAACATGCAGTAGTTTTTGAATAATGTACGGAATATTTAATCCATGATTTCACCTTGATGGTTTGAAGTACCTGCTTTTTTTAAATTTTTTTTTTAAAGTAATGATTTTCAGGCAGATTTGAACCAGTGGAGCTTTTGTCAGTCATGAGATCTTGGAAGGATGGCATATCTTTCCAGCTGAAAAAATCCTGGCAAACTACAAGCTGTCCACATAAAGCAAAGCAACTTTTTTGAAGGGGTATGGAGTGCTAACTCTGTGCCACTTTTGCAAGCAATTTTGTTCAGCCTGTCATTTTATTCGCCTTAACAAAACTCCTTGTAATTATAGACATTTTTATTCAAAATAAGATCTTACTATTATACAGGTTTCTCTCTTTTTTGACTATATACAGAAGTGCAAAAAGTCAACCTTCTCTCTATACGTTCCCACATGCTAAACTGCAGCATAATCAACCCTCAAGAGTTTGCACACACGCTTTAATTCTTGTTACGTAAACTTTGAGTATTTGGATTATCAACAAAAAGTCCCTTGATCTATTGATTATGCAGCTTATTTATAACAAGGCCTGATATTCAGGGATTTCAAAAAATATTTAAACAATATTTTAACATTTGAAATGGATACAGTAGAAAATAAATTTTATTCTAATATCTAGGAACTAGATTTTCTTATAATAACTAATTACAAACAAAATAAATCATCAAAATATTATTCAATTGTCTGCCAGGATTGTTGCGATAGCAACAACTGAACTTCTTACTTAGCAATGATTATATAATTATAAGATATCCATATAAAAGATCTTTGTTCTTTTAATGAAAACTAGACAAGAACTAACAATGACTGACGTTCTTACATTGTAATATTAAATCAGTAAAATATAAATCATTTAGTTAACAATAATACAAATACTCATGACACTACATGTAAATTCAAAACTGAATATGTTATGAAGAAAAAAACCTACTTTTTAATTTTTTTATTTTTTTTGTATTTTGAAAAAGTCATCAGTATAGTCTAATAAAACAAAATTCTATAAACTGAAATGGTATTCAACTGGTAATAGAAAATGAAAATGATCTAATAAATGTAAGAAATAAAAACTACATTTTAACAAGAAAAATAAGTAATATTCTGTAATGTAAGTAACTACAATAACATGTGAAGTCATCTATACTTTCTTAACACGATTGAAATTACATTGGTATGGGTTTTAACCCGTAATGTAATAATCTAAGGCTTTAATAGATGTACAGTACAATCAGTAAAATCAACACATCATTCTTATACTAGAAAGCATCTCTCTCAAGCATAAAAACTTGCAGTAAACTTGGAAGTATGGAAAGTTCTATAACTGAACTCACACTTCTTCCACTCCATGCTATACTACCAGTGACCTGGCCCCCACTTCAGCAGTTTGCTGAACAGAGCAAAAATATCCTTTACTAACTGCAACATCCAAACCACAAAAAGGAATTCCTTTGGATGAATCCATTCTTAAAAACTTGAATGCACATCTATTTTTTTATTATTATTATTTTGTAAAGGCTTTCTAAGGCTATAAGCAGTTAATCTGAACCAAAAAAAAAAAAAATCACAAAACTCACCCAGGTATTTAACCCACCCAATTCTATGCTAATTAACATCTCAGTTTTTTCATATTTTGGTTTATCATGCATCTGATGTCAGTGCTTCTTTCTTCTTTGTTTAGAGTCACTATTTTGAAGTGTGACTTTGATGAAACATTTAAGCAAAAGTGAAATTCATCTCTGCAAAGCATTTATAGTCTTTTGACTTTTGACAGAGGCTATAAATAGAAGCAAAATAAGTTCCTCAAACATTTTTGTTACTGTGTCTCAGAAATGGCTTTTCCCTTTTGTATATTGAGTTATTTAGTATAATATGCATAAATTTTACACTACAATGCCTTAAAATAGTTTATATATATTTATATGTCCAGTATGTGTTACGTTAATCTGTACTGATAGTTGGTTTTTCTGTTGTCTACTTTTATTATAGGTTGAATCGGCCATTTCTGAGACAGCTTTGGTTTTGAAACAGAATGGTGCCTTTGACTGAATAGTACTAACAAAATAAGCAAAAATGTGGCTCTGAAAATAACACTGCAGAAATAATACTCTAATTTGATGTACAGTCTATGGCACTTCATGAGAATCCTTAACAACATGGTACTTAAAGCCATTGATGTGCTTTAAAATATACACAGTTGTGGTTTTGCTTGGCACATTCATCTCTGTCAGATACCTCTCTTACCACTTCTTACAATCTATTACATTAAAAATATTACTCTTAAACAAAAATTACTGTGCATGCACGCTCTCATCTATAATGGCAATTTTAAATACAAGGTGCACCTTTGTTATTTGTAAACCTTGAAAGAAATAAACGTACTTTAAAAAATTATATCTTGGTCTACAGACGTACCAATACATAATAGATTTATGATTACATCATAGTCTGTCTTTTCAAGATGACATATATGATTATGTAGGAAATAGACTATGTATGCATATTTAAATATATAGGCATACCTCTGTGCTAGAAAAGATAGACAATGTTGTAGATTTAGACAATAAGATCACCTCAGCACAAATATCAATTAAATGTACAAAGTATATAGGCAACAGTGTGCAGTGGATTTCCAAGTTGTCGTTTCATCTTGTTAACATGCAGTATGTGGATGTCTTACTGCTGAGGGAATTTTTGTGTGTGGCTTGACGGTATATACATTATGGCTAATGCTCGTGTCCTTTTCTCTATCCAAGCACACAGTCCTTTTCTCTTTAGTATGATCTAGAAAGGGAAGCAGGCAGAAAGAAAATGAATTTAGCATTTTCATTCATTTCCTTAAAGCAATCTCAACATGAGGCGAATCGGTCATTGAAGTCACGAGGAATTTTGCTTACAAAAAGGCTACAGGATTGTCCCTCAAATAATTTCTTCACAGAAAAGTTTTACTTTGCAGACATATTAGACATAATATACATATTGACCATGTATAATAAAATAGTATCCTGTTGCTCTTGAACAGTGGTTCTCAAACTTTTGCCTTGGTGACCCCTTTCACACAGCAAGCCTTTGAGTGCAACCCCCTCTTCCAAATTAAAAACACATTTTTTATATTTAACTCTATTATAAATGCTGGAGGAGAAGTGTGGTTTGGGGGTGCAGGCTGACGGCTCGTTTGAGAACCCCATCTCTTGTATTTTATAGCCTCCTCTACCTAGTAAAATCTTAGGATTAACAGTATTCCACTCACTTACTGGCTTTGTGTTAGGGGCCATGTCCTGGTCCCACTGGAGTATACGGAGTCAGTAGACGGTATTCCCATTGACTTTGTTGGGACCAAGATTTTTGGGTAACATTTTCAAAAGTGCCTAAGCAACTTAGGAGCCAAAGTCCCAGTGACTTTTAATGAGACATAAACACTTAAGTGCCTGTCGTTTTGAAAATAGAATTTAGGCCATTAAGGGATTAAAATCCATTGAAATCACTGGGAGTTAGGTGCCTGAGGCTTTGGGCCTAAGTCACTTAGGTGCTTTTGAAAATTTGAAAAAAATGGCCTAACAGAATAATAAGTAACTTGTATGATTCCATATATTAAATCAATAGTACATTCTCACCTTAATAAAGCATTCCGTTTTGGCACATCATTTCATTAAGGACATAACAGAAATAGAAAAGGCCCAGAGAATGGCAATAAAAGTAGAAACTGAGAAAGGGGAGGTGGTGTTTTATATCAGGAGAAATTAAATAGATGATATAATTGGGTGAGGAGACAAGTAAGGGGAGAGGAATAACTGGAAGTAGTTTTTAAATGCAATAATAAATCAACCTGTGGAAGTCACTGTTGTAGGATAATGCTACGGCAAATAGCTTAGTGTGAATTTTTTAAAAAAGGACTGGACTATGACTACAATAATATCTGAAATCACTCCAGCTAGGATAAAAGTTACAAGGGGTATCAATCCTTTTCCTTCAGGATTGATCATCAACTAGTGTCAAGAATAAATTTTCTCCTCTGCTGAAGAAAGATTACAATGAAGGGGCTATGCAAATCATTGATAAAAATGGCAACTAGGTACCTAAATACCACAGAGGATCTTGGCCATAGTGAATGATAAGTTATTTACAGCTCGAACCTGACTAGTAGACAGTACCTCTGTAGTGGGATGGGCGTGGGAGTGAAGAGCTATATTTACTTGCTGCCGCTATTAAGTTAGCCTAGTGTAGTTGGATAAGATACTATATCAGACAGAAACAAAAAAGAACAGCCAAAATCATAAATTTAAACTAGAATTTCATCATAGAAAGATCGGGGGGGGGGGGGAATCGCTACAGGTAAAGTCAAGTAAAAGTCTTTCTTTGTGAAGAAAGGTTAAATTATAAAGATCTGAAACATAATATCTAGGACTGTAGTTCAAGCCAAACATATGCAAGTAGAAATTGAGCTTGTATTCTCAGCATGACCTCTCTCTACTATGTAACCTATTTCACAAAAATACCACACATAATTTATCATAATTTGGCAACCTGCACTCAAGAGAAGCCACAGGCTGAGTTAGGCTGATGATTAAATTCTCATTCTCAATTACAGAGTTTGTCTTAGCAGACACTGAAATTTAATAGGTCTTTCTAAAGCAACTCTCAGTAAAGAGACTTGTCCCAAATATGGCCCACGGGGCATAAGAGATAGTGGTGTCTCTGTCCAGTCTCAAACAAAACCTAAATTCTCATTTAATAAACTCTGGTTTTACTAATGAGAGTTCATTCCAAAATAATACTATATGAGCCCCATTCTAAGCTTGGCTGGTCCCAGAGTTACTTTCCCCAGCAGGGCAGCAAGATGGCACTAGAATGAGATGGCAGCATTCTCCAGTTACTTTACCCTGTTAGAAGGTGTTGGAACCTTACAGGGAGCTGAAGGTCAATTATTGCTAAATCACTGGGGTAGACTTGGCTTATCAGACTCCACCTCCTTATACCTGCCATAGTGAGTCAACAGTAATTAACATGACACTTCCTGCTCCTGCAGGTTTCCAATTCCAGTTAACAAAGTGGTGGTATTAGAGCAAATACTGGTGCCCCATCACAGTGAGTGTCAGTGCTAACAACCTGGGGCCTCCCCTCCCCAAAAGGCCTTTCATGTACTTGGGGTATGAACAGCATTAATTTAAAGTTGATAACTGCTGTATCTTTTGGAGGGGACAAACACAGGGCAAATAAAAAGAAACTGAGTTCGCTACATCCTGAGCCCCCTGAAAAAGGGAGGCTGATGTTTTAAGAAGCAGATCACATAATTAAGGGTGAAATGCAGAAGGCTGGAAGCAAGATTCTCAACATCACTTAAGCCTAATGGTTGAGGAATGGTCTCCTCACCGTTCAACATTATGAAAAGAGTCTCTGCACAAACTCCAAATACGCTAGCAGAAAGGGTTGGATTGCAGGTGAGATAGGGAAGAGATTATTGATTCCACCACCACGTACATCACCTGCAAAAGTAGAGTGGTGGGAACTCTGGTAAGTATTGTAAATTACAGGCTACTGAGTAGCTGCTGTACAGAATCTGTGAGATCTGTTTCTGGGAAGAGGGGAGTTCAGCTTTCTGCCTGTTTGACCCTTGGCCTCTGCTGAAAGTGTCAGCAAAGGTGATTGTTAATGCCAGATGTGGCAGCCTTGTGATTTTGTTGACTAGGATAGATTGAAATCACCAACTCATTTCACACACACACACTTGTCAGTTTCTGTAATATTTTTTAAAAATCATTTCTATATGAATGCTGTGACTGACATGTGCCAGAAGTTGAGTAATGTCAAAGAAACCCATATCAATTCTTTCATAACATTTTTCCATAACTTTTATTTTTTTTAAATCCAATATGTCCCTGAAAATGCCAAGTTATACACATACACAAAGAGAGTATGAAAACTATGCAAGCAATACATTGTAAACTTACTGTTTGATGACAAAATGTCTACATCTGTGTAACATACTTGTGGCTAGTCAGATGTTCGGCAGATATTATGGGTATCTATAGGTAAAAACGTAAACAATGAATAACATGTGCAACGAATCAACCAAGAGAGAGAACATTTTATTAAAGAACATAACAACGGTTCAGAAAAGTGGGGATCAGCTGTGAGGTGGTGGACTTTATACTATAAGTTAAAGTAAACTGAAATGCTAAAGTAGCAACTTAAAACTGAAAAACATTGTGGTAAGTACTGTTTGACCAATGTAAATAAGTATTATTGTTTGTTTAGAAAGTAAGAGAAGTTAAAATCTACAAAAGTTCATGCAGTGCAGTAATTGAGAAGAGCCCTTTTTGTTGGCCTACACAAAGTTTTGTGATTTGGGTATTTCATTTGAAACAATAAACTCTACAGTTAAACAACTTCAGCTAAATTTTGCACAGTGATCATTAACTTTGGGTGTCTCCATTTTTGGGTGCCAAACTTAAGATACCTTGTACTCTGTTTTCACAGAGGGTGAAGACCCACAGTTGAGCTGAGCTGAACATCCTCCCCTATAAAAGTGTGGTACAAAGTGTCAAAGCTTGGCACCAAAAAAGGAAGGCACCCCAAACTAGTGAACAAGTCTCAAAATGTTGGCCTTTGTCAATAGAATTTGCAATGGCTCCTAAAGTTTATCAACTCATTTTCCATAGTATTTTTTTAAAATAAAACCACAAGATAATATTTAGAAGTAGCAAAGAAGCACACAAGTCAACCATCTCTCTGGAGCCCGATCCTGCAAGCCTCCAATGGGTGGCACATAGATTGAAGTCAGTGAGAGTGCATATACACAGGCCTTGCAGAATAGGGCCATCAATGAGGGAAAACAGTATTGTGTTTTCATCGAATTACAAATGTTAAAGGAATTGTACATAAACTTTCATCACAAACAGGACTGGGAAGTGGAAAGACGCATTTATGTATAGAAAAACAAGCCCTGCAATATGATGTGATACTGATTTTTTCAAGATTAACAGCTATTTACAGTCATACAAGTTATATTTCCCATCAGCTAATAAGTTTGATACATAAACCTGCAAAAGAAAGGGAGGGTGGAAATATTTCTCTAAAACAAATTCAATGTTTTTAGCGGTTGGTTTTTTTTTTTCCACCTCTAATGCCCTCTCTTTACCTGTCATCTTTATACAGTTTTACAGCATTGCCAACTTGCACAGAAATGTGCTCCAAGCATAATGAAGCTTCTCATACCATTTTGTCTACTGCTGCAGGAGAAGATGTTGCACCCAACTGTGTAGAAGCATCAGGGATAGTGCTGTCGAAACATACCAAGGACCTTCAACACCAGTCAATGAAGATGAAGGGCCAGATCTTAAGACCTTCCGCATGCATGCGCATTGCATTGTGTGGCATTAAACAATTTCAGCATTGCTTACATACTATATACATATATTAATTATATATGTATATATTGAGGTTTGGCTGCAATACTTTACTGAAGTGTGTTATGAGGGTCCAGGGAGGATATGCATGAAATGGTCAGATTGTGCAACAGAAAGTTTCCCTACAATCTCTTTGGGCAAATGCGTGGTACCTCACATAGGGAACAGGCATTTTGTGGTTTTGCTCACGCCAGCAATTCTTAGGGGTATGCAGGCTATACAATCAAAATTATTTGAATTGTGCAGTAAATGACTCATGCTGTTAAGATATGTCTGACATACAGTAGATTTATTTGGCTGACACTTATTTGCAAGAATGATAACTTCTCCATGAGTATTCCTGGATATTAAATTATTCTTATTCTGGGCTAAATCTGTGAGAGACTTAGTTACTCACCGAAAAACAAAATTAAGTCTTTTTTTCCTCTAGCAAAAAGAGGTATGTGGTGAGAAATTACATTCAGCTTCTGTGAAAACTGACCAGATTATTGTTTGGGTTTTTAAAATATCTAAATAACACAAGGGAATCTGATGTGCACACCTATAAATCATTATACCAGTGTGATTTTCAGGTATGATGGCTAAGATGCCAATTACTGCATATGCCACCAAAGAGTTTACAGTTGGCTTAGCAAAAAAGGTGGTGCATAGCAAGCGACAGGATACTCCAGGGCAAATACTAAGGCTCGGGGCCTGACCCCGTAAGCGGCTCAGAGCTCTCAACTCTCAATGAAAAATGTACAGCACTCAACACTTTGCAGGAACAGGTTCCTGATTTCTAGAACTAGCATCCTATTTTACAAGTGCAGTTGCCTGCAGGTGCAACAGATTTCAGGCACAAGTACTACTGTCCAGAGCTCCGACTACCTGATTGGATTTTTAAAAAGTGCTCAGAGTTTAGTTGAAGCAGAGTTAGGTCAAAGTTAAGCACTTTTGAAAATCCTGGCCTTAAATACTAGCATTTACTTCTGCAATTAATTGTGAATGCAAAACATCCCCCACAAAATTGGAAACTGAGTTAAGGACATTTTTAAAAACAAACAAAAACACCGTAAAGGCATTTGTGGCCTCCCAGTGAATTGATTGAGAGCACTACTTGCATTTTAGCACAGAATTTGGTGCTATGTTTTTAGCACAATGATAATGTGCCTGAATTCTAAATTTGCAGTATGACTTATAAAATTTATTTCTGGATAGATTTAGATAAAAGAGAAAGGAAATGGTCTTTAGAATGTTTTTATTCTTTACATTTAATGTTCCAACTATGTTAAAAATTCAGTTGTTTTATACTACATCAATCTATTGAGCTAAAACACTAGGCCAAATTCCATCCTCATTTATGTAAGTGCAGTTTCCACTGGAGTAAATGGGAGATGCACCCATGTAAATGTGGCCCACAACATTTATCTTTACAGCGTTGTTTGTGGCAGTGCAAGGAGAAGTTTAACTTCCGGTTTAGCTTGTTAAGCATTTATTTTCATCCTTATTTTATGCATCAACATTCATGGTGGTAGTTTAGAAAGAGTTTAGTCAAGTTTATAATGGCCATTCGGTTAGTTAAAGTTTGTCCATTATAAAATTAATGAGGCCTCTCCTAACTAATTCACAAGTTGAGACAAAGATTTACAAGTGTGCCTCTGGGTGGCGTAAGCACAAATGTTTTTGTTTTGTTTTTTGAAGAGATTCAGAACATGTCCAGACTCTTAAATTCCTGATCCTGTAATCCCTCCACGCACAGCTCCCACTGGCTTTGACCAGAGTTTTGCATGCAAAAGAACTGCAGGCTTTATGTGCACAGAAAAATTGGATTCTGTGTACTATGCCTGTCTCTTTAGATCTATGAAAAGATAAATAAGCTACATGGCCTATGAAATGTCAAGACTGCATCAGAAAGTCTCATGTAAAATATTTTTAGCATCAGAAAAGGAGCTGTAGCACCTTCTGAGCCTGGACAAAAGCTAACTATGCTATGCTACAGCTCTTAGAGAGAATGTGTAGGCCAACAAGAAGTAAAATCAGAACCCCCATGCTCAGGAAAAGCACCAATTTCAAGTTGTTTTTAAGGAACAAAGCTGTAAATTAGCAAACCTGGTTGGCTGTGGCTGTTGCAGCGAAGGGGACACTTGTGGCAGATGTTGTTGCTGCAGACACAGTGGCTGGCGTAGCACCGTGCACCATGGGAACTTTCGGAAGGAAAATCATATAAGCCAACATACAGAAGAGTGTAGCAGTATGGGAACCATGGCAACATGTGATAGAATAATTGAGCATGGTATTTATCATAGCAATAAGCCATGTGACGAGACATCATTGCCAGCGAGTGACATGCAATCACAGTGCAAAGCAGGACAACATTCCAGGGAGAAGGGAAGAAAGGGAAATGAAAGAGGAAAAAAGGGAAAAATGCTTGTTACCATCAAATCAAGAAAATCAACAAACAAGTTCAATTGTTTCAATATGAAATCAACCAAAGTATTTTAAAACGTCCTTATGTTTACATTTTTATGTCTAAACAAAAACACAAACAAGAAAATCCAACCCAAGTATCTACCACACAAAAATTAATCAGTTTGAATGAAAGTATATTTTATATTACTATAGTAAGATACAGTATGTTACTTAATACAAGATAGTTTCTAAACACAAACTCATAGTCCAATCAAAATCCACCAAGGAAAAATGTGCAATTCAGAACACTACTATCCAACTTCTAGGTGTCCATGTCAATTAAATAAAACAACTGCATTTAATTGACAGGTGTTAGTGCAGAGGGTGTGATGCGGGTGGGGGGAATGGATTGGCACAAGAGCTGTAAGTTAAAACCTAGCAGTGGATTTTGAGGGTCTGTGAGCTGCACCACAGGTTTAAGATAATCAAGAAACAAAGCTGGCACCTACCAACACTTGTAGCGGGTGTCATGCACAATATTGAGCCTGCCCATCATGCATTGCAACAGGAAGGTGGATTTGAAAAGGGAAAAGAATTAAAACAACCCATCACACGTGTAATTAGAAAATTTCATTTGAACAAAGAAGAAAAATTGTTATTATGGGAACAGTGGCATGTAACTGTCAGCACAATCAAATCATACAATAGCACAGTGATCAATTAGAACTAGTCTTAAGTGAAGAAAAAAGCTGATTGAACTGTGTGCTGGTACATTTTGTTTGCCTTTATTTCTATATAGTTTCATTTGTCTATAAAATATTACTAGAAAAGGTCTCGAGGCTTATTTCAACATTCGGTTTTAATCTCATTCATTTTTTATCTTTTTGACAAACTTCGTTAGCATAAAAATAAATGTATATTTCTTTTAATCTATATTTTATTAAGATTAGAGGAAATGATCAAATATGTTATTTATCTTGAACACTCTCAGGGTAAGCCAGCACCCAAAATTATGTTAATCCTAGCACTAAGATTATATGGAGATATGCAGGATAATAAAGAATGAAGGAGTGGGATTGTTTCACCCGTTCTCCAATCCATATGCACAGGGGATCCTCCACACTGAGTTCTCCCTGCCTAAACCCGTCAGTCTCTGATGCTGCTGAGGAAGGAAGCAGAGAGTGCGCAGGTTGAGAGTTGGAGCAGGCTAAGGGAAACGTTCTCTTTTCTGCAGTTGTCCCAGGAAGAGATGGGGCCAGAGACAGTTGTGGGGGGCCTGCCAGGGGCCAGAGCTGGTGTGGAAGGGCAGGGAATCTGTGCAAATGGCCCTGCCCCTCAGCAGTTCTTCTGAGCATCCACCACATTTGTAGCAGGCCAGCGGAATATAGGGGAGAAGGACTACATGAGGGGATGGATCCTCATGGAGTTTCCACTCAGGGCTACCTTGTGTGGGTTTTCCCATAGGAAGGGATGGTTCGACCCATGGTTAGTCTTGTGTCCTTTATTCCTCCAACCCCTCTAGAGGAATCTCATGTGTCTTGGTACTGCATAGGTGTTAGGACTAGGATTGTGTGAAGAAATGGTTTCTCAGTTCACTGGCAGTTCCAAAAAATAAAAAAATAATTCATCTTGGGTCCAATGACATGTTTTGTTTGAAATGAAGCATTTTATTTTGATTTTGAGCTTTTAAACAAACATTTTGATTTTTTCTTTTTTAACAACTGGAACAATTTGCAAATTCACGAAATGTTTTGGTCAACCCGAATCTGCATTTTTGCTAAATTTTTGCCCAGCTGTAGTAAGGGCAGTGGTAATTTTGCATATAGTATTATTTACAATATGTAGACACTGTGGGGTAAGCTGAAGATGAAGTGTCAGCTTTAACTCTGATTTTCCTCACATTATTTATTTTGTATTTTAAATACAGGATAAAAAGTGCAGGTCTCCCACATAGCCCCCAGCACAAGCTAAGCATACTTGACCGGCACTGTTTCTACACTGAAGAACACACCTTTACTGACCATATGTTGTTGGGTCTGTGGGCCCATTGACCATAGTAGAACATCAATAGTACTTAGATAATTGTTCAGTTGAGAGAGAATCTTGTAGCCTGTCACTCTCTTTGTGCTATATAAATACATCTCTACCCCGATATAACGCTGTTCTCTGGAGCCAAAAAATCGTACTGCATTATAGGTGAAACCGCGGTATATCGAACTTGATTTAATCCGCCGGAGTGCGCAGCCCCCCCTCCACCCCGGAGCACTGCTTTACCGCTTTATATCCGAATTTGTGTTATATCGGGTCGCATTATATCGGGGTAGAGGTATAATAATTAATTAATAAGAAATGAATTCTCCAAAGAGACATCAATGTCAGCAGAAGCACTACATTTTTAGGCATGCCCAACTGCCAGTTTTCAAATTCCAGTACTTTGGCAATCTCATTTATTTTAGCTAGCTCCATATTGAGAAATCAGTATTTGCATGTTTTTTGTTTCTTACCTGAAGCTTAAAAATTATAACATTATAAACAAAGGGCCCAATTCTTCATGTTCCATCATACTGAAAGTTTTTTAAAAAGACTTTCTTCCCTATTTAATCATATTGTTAGATAATTTTACTCTGATATGAATTAAAATAAATTAAATAATGAAGTCCTGAAAATGGGGATCATATGAAACTGGAAACAGACTCTGAATGACACTGTCTGTGGGAGCTATACTATTACCTTAGAGAGACAAGGTGGGTGAGGTAATATCTTTTATTGGACCAACTTCTGTTGGTGGGAGAGACACAGACTTTCGAGCTGACACGCAGCTCTTCTTCAGCTCTGCGTAAGCTCACAAGCTTGTCTCTGTCACCAACAGAAGTTGGTCCAGTAAAAGAAATTACCTCACCCACCTTGTCTCTAATGTCCTGGGACCAACACAGCTACAACACCACTGCACACTATTACCTGGATACAATATGGCAATAACAAAATGAAAGTATTGCGCCTGAATGGTGATGCATGTTATCTTCCTAGCTTGTGCTATGTGGTGCATAGATTTATAAGCCATGTTGCCCCGGCTTGCACAATGCCAAAGCCATGGTCTTTTGGTGAAATAAAATAGTTATTAATATAATTAATGCTGGGGGATAATATGGAAGTTAATGCCTGTTATTACTAGAAGACACATTTAAGGTTATTGGAGAAATGGCATCATTAATCCTTCTAATTATTTTATTCTTTCTATTAAACAAAAAAGAATGTAATTATTCATGAAAGATCTTTAAAAGGAGGGCTATTTAAAGGAAAGGCCTCATCCTGCTTGCTTTACTCACAGGTGAATTGCTACTGAAGTCAATGGGACTACTTGTGGGAGCGAATATGTGGCCCAATATTTGGCCCTGCACTACAAACTATGTGCTAAACACATTGCTCTCAATTACACCCACACAACCTCCATGATGTCAATGAGGTTGCATGAGTATAACTGAAAGCTGTGCCACTCTATGTTATTAGACATGTACAAATGCCCTATTTATTATGTTTTACATATTTTATTATACCTAGTATATTACATCATTCCATGCATAATTAAGTCTACATGCTGAAAACAAGAGTTAGCTTTTTGTAATGATTCTCTGAAATATAACTGTAAAGCTTTCACCTTAAATTTTAGTTTGCGTTATCATCATCATTAATGTTATAACCAGTCCACACAGTTTTGAGAGGGATTTGCAGCAAATGAACATAAGGCAGCAATGAAAATACTAGCTAGAGTGCAATAACTTGCAAATATGAAGACATAATGCAGTAGGACCCACTTGCCAATAATAAAAAAACATTTTTGCTATGACCTTAATATTAGTCTTGACTTCAAAAGCTTTGATTTACTAATAAGAATGTATGAATAGTGAATTTGCTAGTTCAAATGTTCCTTGGCTTTGCAGCACAAGGCAGCATTTGATTTCAAGCATGTGTTAATTTAACTGATTATAATTTCTCAGATAAATTATGTTTAGAGAGAATACAGTAATTTTGATGAATACTCTGTTTTCACTGGGATTTTAAGCAGTTCCTTTTCCTCATTATATATATGTTTCCTACTCCTGATTTGCTGTTTCACTCAGTTTTTTTATTCAGTTAAATCTAGAAAGCACCACATAGACCAGATTATCAGTAGAGAACACGAGTGCTTCAATCTGAATGACGAATTAGTGTTACGGAGCCTGCTCCTGCTCCCATTAATATTTCAAGGGGAGCAAAATTAGTTCCCAGAGGAGAAGGAATAGGGGGGTTTGCGGTACTGCTATCCTTACTTTTGAGCTGCTGCTGGCAGTGGCACTGCCTTCAGAGCTGGGCAGCTGGAGAGCGGTGGCTGCTGGCTGGGAGCCCAGCTCTGAAGGCAGAGCCGCCGTCAGCAGCAGCGAGAAATAAGGATGGCATGATATGGTATTACCACCCTTACCTCTTCACTTCTGCTGGCGGGCTATCAGCTGCTGCTCTCCTGCCTCCGCAATTGCAAACGGTGGCAATACTGCGGCCCCCTTAAAATAACCTTGTGACCCCCCCCCGCAACTCCCTTTTGGGTTAGGACCCCCAATTTGAGAAAACTGGTTTCCCCCATGAAATCTATATAGTGTAGGGTAAAAGCACACAAAAGACCAGATTTCACGGTTTGTGATGCGTTTTTCATAGCTGTGAATTTGGTAGGGCCCTAATTATTACAGCTGGATTCTGGCCTATTGCACTTTAAACAGGTACAGATTAAGGACTAGATTGTGAGTTGCTCTGTGCCTAAGTGAAAGTGAGGGAGCACCAGGAACCTTCACCCTCTTGTTCTTTTCACCGGGAGCATTACCACTGCTCCTTATTAGTACCACTGGTTTCAACTCCTGACAAAAGGCTGGAGAGCAATAATATCTTGGCCTCATCCTTCACACTGGCCAGGCCTGAGGGGAAGCATGTGCGGCACCTGTTTAAAGGGTGGCAGAGCTGCCATTCCAGCATGCACTTTCCAAAGCCTGTGACGGTAGGGGTAGTTATCTGTGTGAGACACAAGGGATGGATGCTAAAATGCTCGGATCGCACCCCCAACAGACCCTGTCCCACAGGAGTCTGGGTGCAGCTCTAACCATGACAGGGCTTGGAGGCAACTGGAGATTTAGGTACTACATGTATCCTCTTTTTTCCCTCCATGCACCTTTCCATGCAAGACAGCTGAATCTGAGCTCTAGAATGTGGAGGGGATGTCTAGGTATGTTTGAAACACAAATCCAACATTGTTGCCAAATATGAAATTCAGCCCAGATGAGAGGGCCTATCTAAGGGCCTCCAGATCACATACATCCTTAATGTACAAGTCCTGGGGAGAGTCTTGCCCTCTGGGGCCTCTTCTCTCTGTTGAATTTCATCAAGAAATTAAAAAAAACCCAGTCATTACTCTTTGGGGCATGATCCTGAATGGTGCTGAGCCCCTTCGACTCCCACTAAAGGACTTAATCTTGAAATGTGGCAAGTGCCTTTTGGGAGGTGCCGGGCATCCTCAACTCCATGTGAAGTCAAGACAATGGGCTTGAGAGCATCCAACACCTCTCAGGACTGGGACTGTTGTGTGAACCTCCCAAAAATATGCTGTAAGTTCCCTTCCTGGTTCTGTTGGAAATTGATTGAAAAGCTGTGCTGACCTCACTAATGATAATGATGCACAAACAAGAATTAAACTAATTTTAACTCCATAAAAACTGGGGGCCACACAGAAAAGTAAAAAGTGTTATTTTAGTGGGCAATAATGTTGTTTTAAAGTTTCTGTGAAGGCATCAGATCAATGGAAAACTAAAAAGGTGCTAGTCTGCCCCTTAACGGTAATTTTTAATAAAAAATTGAAAAGCAGAATTGGTACAATAGCCTGTGCAGGCTAAATCCTGAAACCGTTAGCCTGTCCCGTCTGAATGCCAGAGTCCCAATGGAGTTTCAATGAGTCCTGAAGCTCCTACTTAGGCCAAATGCCCACTGACTTCAATATGAAGTTGCCTGAGTAAGGACCGAGAAAGGCCCCATTTAATTGCTGACATTCCCTGTCAGTTATGTGATGCAACTGCATTTTTATTTATACAAATGACATTAATGATCCTGATGGTAATGGGCCCGATTCTGTGGGGGCTGAAAGTGCTAAGATGCCAAACCCCCATTGATTTAAGGGAAGCTGAGGGGCTCCTTACCAGAGATGCACAGCACTAACCAAGATCAGGGGAGCTTTTAAATATGCGAAGCCTGCAGGATGGACTGTGATTGTCTACTATGTAAATACATTTTAAATGTTTCTTTTAAATATGTGCATTAGAGGCCTAATCCAAAGATCACTGGAATCAATGTCTTTCCCGGTCTTTCCATTGACTTCAATGGGCTTTGAATCAGCCCCTAGATGCCAAATGGGCTTCAGTGGCTCCAGAGAAGTTATACCTCATGTCAAGTAGCTGTTCCATATATGTAGATTACATGTATACATGTTGATTGAATGACAGACCACACCACCAAAAATGGAGCGGTAAGAGTCAATCATGCTGATGTGGCTGAAACACGTCAAAATAGTTAGGAAATGATTTTTCTGTTTCTGATAGCCAGTGTTCTCATTTTTGTTACCTACATTTTTTAAAATGCCAGTTCTTTGCAGTTAAAATTTGCCTTTCACAATTTAACTAAAAAAATTATAGCAGAGTTTTAAACAAAGTGGAAATATGGATTTTTATGAAGCAAGTAGTGATACAAACTTATGATAGATCCAATCCTGCAGACTTTATGGAACAAAAATTGACTGCAGCGAGATTTCTTTAGAAGTAATGAGTGCAGGTTTGGGCTCTGCAACAATCAGACTAAAATATTAGGTATCATTTTATCATTCTTGACTAAAAACAACTGAGGGTTCTATTTGCTCACATTGAAATTAATAGAAAATATTTGGTGTCTGATTTCTTTTACAGGTACACTTTCAGTGTGCTTCCATATTAGTTTAGCTGTAATGCCATCTAACTGCATTTCATGATCACTAAGTAAAATTCAAAACCTCACCCTTTACAAAGTGATATGGTTCAGAAGTACTGTTGCTAAATAAGTTAAGGCAAAGGGGTCTTACAGCAAAAAGGAATAATACAAAATAGCTCAATAGATGTGTAATAAAGTATTAATTAGGAAAAAGAGAAAGAAGAGAACAGATTTCAGAATCTGTTTTGAAATGATAGATCATGTGCTTCCAAAATATTGATTTTCATATTAGATTGGAGAACATCTACCCAGCTTCCAAGACAAGCATACACAGAAACAGCATTCTACAAGATCCCTACCTGATCACAAACACCCCTTAATTCCTTTCGTCAGTCTAAGCAAAAAACATCCTACTACAACTGTGCATATATCAATGACTATCAATCCAGATACCTTTAGAAGTTTATTACAAACACTGAACACTAATTTTGTGGCATATTTTGCTCTACAAAAACTAAAGAGATACTTACCTGGTGGGAGGAAGGCTGCATGCTGTTGTAACTGCATGTTGGCAAGAGCTTGTTGGTATTGGAAAATACCAGTATTAAAGACTGCGGTGGCACCATTGGTTTTTTCAAGCGCAGGCCTCTTTGGTAATGGGGGAAGTACAGCTTGAGGAATTCCCTGAACGGTGGATGAGTATAAAAAAATAAAGTCCAGTCCGAAAAAAGAAAAAGAAAAAAGAAAAATCAGTAGAAGGCAAAAAAGAGTCAGGCAGCACCATGTTTATCCATGAGCAAGCAAGCACCAGAGCAGACTTAACTACCAAGTAAAAGGCAAGGTAATAGCTTTAAAAGGAAGCATTACTTTAGTCTAACAATAAAGTAGTATAAGTAAATGTATTGGAGCTCTATGTTATAGTAATGTGCTAAAATATTGTATAAAGCTTCAGGTTTTCAGTAAGAAGCAACAATATTGGGAAAAAAGAAAGCTGCACTGCTAGCTCCATGAGGATTGACAAATAAAAGCAATGTTAATAGTAATCTCACAGAGTGAATGAAACAGATAAGGTAATATTAAAAATTATACCCACAGTTCCCAAAGTCTAACTAGACATGCAAAAATGTACCAAAGCATGCTGGTACTTTAACATTGCATTACAAATGTTAAATCTACATAAGAATATCACTAAGCCATGCCAAGCAAACAGATACATAAAAATACAGTAATAAATACTTTTTTAATGTCCTCAAAGTACTTTACAACATTTACAACATTCTAAAAGGTGGTTAAACTGAATGTGGGCTGCTGCGCTTTAGGAACATTTGTTTGGCATATACATTTATGTGTATATTGTATTCTTTCCCACTGATTGGAACAGGAAACCACACTCAGTTTTCCATTGTATTTCAATATTTTACAAATTAATAAAAAAAAGTGTATCTACAATAAAGCTACATGCCAAGCTAAAAGGTGAAAGGTCATAGTACCAGGTCAAAGGTTGCCTCGAGGGGTCGCTTCAGTGATTTGACAGCCGACTGAGTCTTAATTAGCAGGCAGCGAGCACATGATGGCAATGGGCCAGTGGGGTTCAAGCGCATTAACATAAACAGCAAGCAGAGGTGCATCATGGGGGCAGCAGTGCATTTTTGGGTAGGTGAGAAAAAACAAATAAAAAACAAATCATCGGAATGCCATATACAACGAATAACAAGACTAAGCATGCACAATAAAGGCACTACTAAGTTGTTATTGTGAGGATACAACCTCTATGTAGTTAATTACAAACAAGATAATCTAACAGAAAAGAGTGAAAGGAGAGAGAAAGAGAGTCTGCCTTCTGTATTTTTGCTCAAGTATCCATAAACAAACATAGAAAAAGGCCTCTCTCATGTTCATTGTACTATGCTATGGATATCAAACCATGTTTTACATGAAGTAGTATTTTAATGGTCACATCTTGTAGTTATGTAAAAATATAGGACAATATTAACAGCTAAGCAAGGAACAAAGACTGGACCCATTAAAATCAGTTTTAGATCACATTAAAATTTTACTTTAAGAATACATTTTAGCAAATAGCCTGTTTGTATTAATTTCTAATACCTTCAAATGTTTTCCTACTCCATGTAATTGCCATATTCAAGCATCCCTAATTGTGCAATGATTCATCCACACCGTAATATTTAAGATATTTATGATATCAAAATATGATTAAATCTCCCTCAAATAATGTTACAGTCTATTTGCTTGAAAACCTACTCTTAAGTAGTTTCAGATCTTATTTTTTAAATTAAGTAATTTTTAAGCATATTACTGGTGATAAAAAAAACCCCAAGATTAAAGAAGAGGAAAACGAAGTTTAGTGTAGAAACAGGAATACCATTAATGGTAATTTATATGGATATACTTAAAGACAGAAATAATGATCCCTATAAATGGAGATTTATAGCAATATACACACACACACTATCTATATCTATCTATATAAATAGATAGATACATATTTTGAGTCTACATATAAGTGCACACATGTATGTATACATACACACACACCCCTGTATACATCAGCTGCCAAAAATTAGTAAAATATTTTAAGTCTGAAACTATTTAAGAGTAGATCTGGCATCACATGCTCTAAAAGCTCATTACACTGTGTAGTGAATGGGATACCTGAACAAACATATCTTCAGCAAGAATAGTTAATAAATTAATCATTTTTTATCATCAATGTTACATTTTGAAGGTGTCTTCTGGACTCACCATGGCAGCTGCAGTAGCTGCTGCTTGGGCAGCTGCAGCTTGGTTGACCTGGTACTGGGCAGCCTTGATCTTGGCTTGCAAATGTGCAGGAGGGTGAAAATATTTGCACTTTTCCCGTGAACACCTCCCTTTGATGTAATCCATGCAGACAGTAACTGTGTTGTCGTTGGTATCGATCATTGCACTGTCAGCAGGATGAGCAAACCGGCAATCATTTTCTCCTCTATTACAATTGCCACGCTGATACTCTCGACATACCTGCAGCATCATTAAATGAAAACCAGTTAATGTGCCTGGGTATCACACGACATTGTTGACTTGAGAAAAGTGATCACAGAGAAGGTGTAAAATATAGTCGGCAATCTCAGGGAACTCTTTCAAAAACAAAAACTGGTAGCGCAAAGTGGCCTTGAAGTTTGGCATACTGAACTCACTTTAGAGGTCCCTTTATACTGCCAATGTGGTATAAAAGAGTCTGAGGAAAGGTGAATCAAGCCCAGAGAGTCTAAATCCATTGATTTCTATAATTGGCTACATTTGGTCCAATTCATCAACATGTACTAGTTTTGAAAAAATGTGTTTATGACGTTAATCTTGAATGATAATTGAAACAATAAGCCAAGGTCAAAACTACTTCACTGTAAAACACATTTCTAAAGTGAACTATTTGTTAAGGATTGTTTTATTAAGCTAAACGTACAATTATTGTAAAAATGACCTTCCTAATCCTTTGAGATCAATCCCACAAGCTACATTTTTGGCTTCAATGCATTACATACTATTACCTCTATCATTTATATATATTTACATAGAGCTATGTCAACAATGAGCATCAATAGAAATACAGCATTTAATGAAGTCTCTCAGCTATTCCATCCTTTTAACACAAGAGGGCACGAAAACACACAACAACCAATAGTCTGTTTTTTCTGAACCTCCCTCATGTTCCACAGTCTTTCAGCTAACCAACCCCCTTTTTTATCCCATGTAGGATTAAGAGTAGATAGGTAATCATTAGTAAAAAACAATACAGGGGCAACCAAAGCATTCAGAGGTCTCCCTGACAATCAAAACAAAAGCTTAAAGAACCAGAAATCCAGATATTCCTTTTGGCACAGGAGAATGGACACCCTAACTAGTTGTTCCAATTACAAAAACTTCCATTGGATGCCAAAAACTACGAAAATCCCTCACTGGATGTACAACCCCCACTAATAGAACAGTAACTTCTCTAAGTGGTAACCTCCTTTCATTTATTGCATCAAAACGTTGGGCTTATTTCTCACTAACTTTGCAAGTCCTAAATTTAAGGGAACTACATTCAAACTTTAGTTTTATTGTCAACTCTTTACAAATCATGACCAATAATAACCACAGCAATGAGTTTTATATATTAACTTCCAAAACCCTTTGGAAAATGCAAAGGTTCACAAGCAGGTAAACTTGCACACTGAACAAAACTAATATAACAGATACAATTTTCTTATAAGGTGGGTGCCAACGAGTTTGGAACATTAGCATTTCCTCAGGAAGTCTGGTTCTGATCCTTACAACAACACAAATAGTGTTCTTTGATTTTCATCTACACTAGCTCTCTGGCTACACTTCAACTCTCTGTACTCCTTAAAACCTCAATCAGATGTCATCTAAGACTCCTACCTACAGCTCATGAAACTGAGCAAGTGATTCTATTAGAGGGTAATAGCAGCACTATTGTGAGTTTGCCAGCTCGGAGCATACATTTTGTCTGGCCATTGTCGCAGAGGTATTTGGAAAGTCCTCCATTTGGGGGCAGATTTGCCCATCTGTGCATCTCGCATATTTCCATAGTCAAGGCCACAAATGAGACTCTCTTTATCTTTATGTTCATATTTAGGCGGTTATTCTACCAAAGTGATGATGTCAGGCTATATCTAATAGTTTCCCTTTGTTTGCTTCTTTACACTGAGTAGCGACTTTACCAACCTACAGCATGTTTTAAATGTAAAAAATGCTGTATTTTTTTCACTGTGACAGCTATGCTAGATCTCCCAGGTACCTATGCCCTTAAAATCTACAATGATCTCTGGGTTACATTTTTCTGGCAATGAAAAACACTGTGTCATGAGAAAATTCTCTCTCTCTCTCAGATAAGAAGCAGCAGCTCAAAAGAGTCCGATGCATTAATTCAGCCAGATCTGCAATGTTTGGATAAATTTTAAAATGATCCACACTGAAACCAAACAAACTTTTTTGAAATTCAGAAAAGTTCAGTCAACTCTTTCCTTACTTTTCCCTTTTCTGTTTCATGTTCTTGTCTACTTCCTGATTTCTGCCAGGCCCAGAAGCAGAAATACAGAGAGGGGCAGGCTTCTACTCAAGGTATTTTCAGCTAAATGTATGATATATTGGAAATCTCCTGGGAAAATTTAATCTCATGAAATCTCCATCTTGATTTCCAGACTGACTGGTATGGTTAAATCTAGCTAAACATCCAAACTTCTGCATGATTAGCTGAACCAAACAAAACCTCCAAAACATTTCAAGTTGATCCTTTTACTAGTAACAATCATCAGCTTTATTGCAGGGATATTCACATTGATTCAAGGACTCCTATGGATTGCATACAGTTGTGTTCTATATCTATCTTAAAACCAGATAGTTTTAATTTCCTTTTAGGAATGTAATCAAAGGAATAAAAGCTTTTAGTTATAGAACATGCTTAATTTAAGCTTCCTAGAGCATGTGTGTTAACTTAATGAACAATGTAGTACAACACTTCTGAAAATATACTTTTAAAATTGAAAACAGAACAAGTAATTTTCAAGTTTTGACCCTAAAATCCCATCTTTTTTTTTTTACTGGACAATGCCAAGGGCAGAGAGCTAATCCATGAACCACTCTGAAACCGGTCTATAATCATATAATTTCAAATGATATTAAGAAATTCACTTAAAGAACAGCCAGGTACATGCCGTACAGACAAAGCACATTTTTTCATTGAGTAGGATCAAAGACATGTCAAGATTTACAAGTCAGCAGAGCATTTTTATAGTCAATAAGGTGCTAACTAGGAAAGATTTGCCCACTGAGTGTTCACATGCAAAAGCTAGATATTCTAGAAGCCAGACCAAAATAAGTTCATGTCCTTACGTTCTACAAGAAGAATAAATCAGATTCCATAAGAATAGTTTCTGTTTTTGTGAAGGAGAGAAGGGAAGGTTAGTATATAATTGTAGAGGAACCACTAAGTGAACTCAGATATAGTCTGAATCACAGTCAAAACAAAACAAAAATATCCAAAGACGGGAAGCACCTGGATAAAAAAAGAACACTGTCTTGAACTGTCTCAACAAATCCACTGGAAGGACAGAAAACTGGCTTAACTAGCAGACTGACTGTTTGCTTTCAGGAGCAGTGAAAATAGCAGAGGTAGCAGAATTACTAGCAACATCCTATTTTCCATTTAACACAAACAGCTAGTCTCCTTTGTACAGATGGCTCCCTGAATCCAACAGAACAAACTGTGGCATATCAAAATTGTCTAATCAGTCTGAGAAGGCAGGGACACCTCCAGGCATTTCTCCTCCATTCTGCTTTCTCATTCTGAATTTCACCACATCTCTCCACTCAGATCAACGCAACAGTAGCTCCACTGCAAGCAGACAGCACAAAAACTCCTAAGTGTCTCTTGGCTGATTTAATACAGACATGTAACTAGGGGCTTGGCGGCACAAGAAAATTGTAGCAATTTAACTAAATCAGTTTAAAAACTGTTTAGTTAAATTGATTCAGCCAACACCCTTATGTTGTAGACACTCTTATTTCACTTTAGCAAAAGCTGGTAAGGAATTTACTTCCACTAAATTGAGCATATAAAAATTAAATGCTTTGCTGAAGCAGGCCGTAATGCTGTTATTTGTAACAGACAGCAAAGGTGGAGAAGAATCCGTGAACAGGAAGGCAGAGAGTAGACTTGAAGCGAGGGGTAGAGGATTATTTCTTGCAAGCTCCAAGGGCAGGGAATGAGTGGGGACCTGTGAAGAACTGAGCAGGGACAGAGGTAAAAGCTCTGGTTCAAATGGCCATTGCTTCAGAACAGGATTCTCCTGTTTTGTGCCACTGAATATGGGGGATGTGGCTGAAATGTGAGTAATCCATGTAACTGTCCAAGGTTCCCAAGAGGACTCCCTGAAACACCAACATCCATGCAACTTTTGAGAAGGGCCATCAGTATGGTGGTGTTACTTCACAAGTGAATGTTATCAGAGGGAAAGAAGCTCTGCTCTCTCCTCTGTTGTGAAAGTTTTCTCAGGTCAAAGTGAAGACCTATCCAGGACAAGTTCTCAAATAATTAATATTTTTCATCAGGAAACTTGCGACAAATGAGAAATTTCTTAAGTCCCAATGCCTATTTCCAGGAGTTTGTAACTTGGCCGAAACTTTTCTTTCCTTTTTCTTTTTTCATTCAAAGTTCAAAGGAAACCTGCTTGGCCATTTTTAAAGTTTATTGCTTTCAGATGCTTTCTGGGGCTTTTTAAATTTTGAAAATGTCTCTTAGCTCTTGGTTAATGCCATTTGGTGTTCTGGGAGGAGAACAGCACTCTGTTGTAGAAGCATTTGGTTTGTCACTTTGCTAATGTTTTTAAACAAAAATCTCATAAAAACGTTAACAAGCACATTTTGACCAAATGCCCCATTTTGAAGATCCACTGACTTTAGCTCCAAATTTCAGGAGCTTCCTATATGTTATGGGTCACATTGTGCCATTAAGGCACCAGGCCTTCTGGAACTCCCTGAATGTGAAAAGAGTGCAGCATGCTTATGACACAACCAAGTAGATCAGCTGATCTTAGCCAGCACTCTGAAGGAGATCCCAAAATAATTGCCATGGCAGCACTCTCTTCTCTGAGATTCATTTTAGGTCCCTGCATTGTTTATTTACCTATCTTCATTGGTCTTAATTCATCCTTGGCAAGTATCCACTGTGATGTAAAAGTCATCAAAAGAAAATCTTCCTTGATGTTTTGGAAGTAACTGAAGAGTCAACAATGCATGAATAGGTCTAAAATTGCTACACAAGTGATCTGACTGGGTTTCTGAAAACTCTCCCCCCTAAACAAAGAAAAGAAATAAGTCTCCAAAAAGGGAAGTGAAGTGATCTTTCAAAAGAGGAAACTGTGGTGATCTAAACTCTTATTATAGTTCAGACAAGCTTGGGAAATGTTCAGAGCGTGATGACACTCCGGATGATATTCTACATTGCTTCTAACTTGCAACTTTCTAAATTGCAATTTGGCAATCATGAGATGAGTTTGGGGAAGGGAATTAATTTCCATATAAGGAGACAGATCTCCTCCAGATGCAGGTCCCAAAAATGGCAGAAAAGCATGAAAGTTATGAATTACTTTATTTTAAAATGTTTGGAACGGCAATCATCATTTTTACCTCTCACATTTATTCCAAGTACTGTTATTGAAGGGCCAGATCCAAAACAGGTGTAAATTGATTTACAGCAGCTGAGGATCTACTCCACAAATTTTAACTTACATGAACATCAGTCTCTCTTAATTTAATCACACTACTTGTGTGATTAAAGATCTATCATGTGATTAAGGGTTTGCAGGATTGGGAGTTACAGATTTATTTTTTTATCTATAAACTAATGTAGAAATTGGTACTAAAAAGTTCTCATTTGTCAAAGTTACTACACAACATAGGAAACAATTGGGGTTACAGATATTATTGAGTGATAACTATGGCTAAATGTTGCCTTTTTAGGGGAGGACCACAGTATCTGAATACCCTACTAAAAGCATGAAACAGAACAACAAAGCAAATGATAGGTTGCTAACATGGTCTTTTAACCTTTCTAAACATTTAATTATAAATATCAAGTCTGTGCAATTTGGGATTATAAACACCAGCCTGCAGACTATGCTGATAACTACAGTTAGGTGGAAAGCCATCTTTCAGCATATTTTGACAGTCTGCAGCACAGTGCTGGCTCAGGGCCTGTGTTGCCACAGACATCATAAGGTGTCGAAAACACTGTCAGGCATTTTAGATAAGAAAAGATTCAGGGCAAGGGAGAAGAACAGCTACAGAGGAATAGAATTTATTAGGGCTGTAGCAAAAGATAAACAGGAGGCCTCTGAGGGAATTCAAGCAGTATATACCCAGAAAGGAAATCTAGAAGCTGAAGAAGATCTCTTATACAGGTAGTTAAAGTATCATTATACCAAGTCCTGACTATCAATATCTATCCATCAGACCCATTTACATAGTTCTTAGGTGCTGCTACTCTTGTGTTTGGTTTAGCAAATCTTAAAAGGTTTGAGTGGTACCTATTTGCTTTTGTTTTAGTGAGAAAAGTGTATGTGTTATGAAGTTATAGTATGAAGGTCATGTCACAATCTGTTCAGAGGCTTTTATCAAGTCATCGTATTAACTGCCTGGATCAGAGGCATGCGCGGGAATTTAAATTTGACCACTTTTGGAGGAGCACACTCTGTGACCCCACTGAGTGTGGGCTCAGTGCTGGAGGAGCCGTCAGTTCCTGGGGACTGGAGGATCTTGCTTCCCCCTGCTGCGACCCCAGGGCCGGGAGGCTCTCGCTCTCTCCCTCACCCACCACAGCCTCAGGGCCTCCCCGCGCCCCCTCACCTCCCCCGGCCTTGTGCACATCCCTGATCTGGATTGTAATTTATGTGCTTAGTTAGTTTCCTTCACAAGCACAGAATTGAAGATGCAGGAGACTAATGCATAAGATTAATAATAGGAAATAAAGTATATTACTTCCTACCTCCAGTCTGTCTGTCCTCATTAATTTCTGTGCAGCAGCAGCAGCAGCTGCGGGAACGGGGACACCAGGATTCCCTGCAACCAGCATCGGTGCAGTTGGTAAGATCTCTGCTGGGACCAAGCCTGGGGAGACAGGCCCCAGGTAGGGATTAAAGGCTGCTGATGCATTAGTGGCTAAACTTGGTGCAACTGAAAACATTGGCTGGAAAAAAAAAGAAGAAACAACTATTTAATGTTTATACCAGTCAATATATTAAGTTCTACCATATACTCTAAAGTGGCTGGTTCTGGCTGTCTTTTTACCCATGATAGCAGTGTATTTTTGCTATTAATACAAACAAAACATTAAGGAATATACAGCAGATCTATGGAATCTTAATATACTCATTTAGTAAAAATTTCATTAAGAGGGAATTCAATTTTAAGTTCCCCACTCATTTTGTCTGTAAAGGGTAATTATGACATGCATATGACATGTGACAGTAGTACGACTGACCTTTGACTCTATCACCCCTTCAGCAGCCTGGCCACAAGTCAGCACTCCCACATGGCCGTGTAAGAAAAGCATCTTACAACTGTGATGTCAGATACCCTCATGTGCATGTTTGAAGTGTGTACAAACATCCACAAATGAGAAAGGAATCTCAGTGGGTGAGAAAAGGCATCCTTACATTCAGTCATTGTTAAACAGCACCGACATAGATTCTCCTTTTATTTTCCCTACTGTAAATAGGTAGTGAGGCAGTGGAATTACACCAGCATAAAAGAGGTCCAAGATCAGAATATAACAGCAACAACAACAATTCTTTTTGGTAAAACTAAGCAGGTTGCCCATCCAGATATTCAGTAGGAAATAAACGAACAATCTCAGTGCCCTGGATATTGAAGCCAACGACTGAAGCCTTCATAGGCTCCTTCAAGTTCATCCATTGCGAGGAGAACTTAAAAGGGTGCAGAAGCTCAACTATAAGACCAAATTCTGTGCTGTTACACTGGTGTAAAACTGAAGTAACTCTACTGCTCCACTGAATTCAAAGGAATTGCTCCATCAGTATAACTGACAGCAGAATTTAACCCAGAGTCCGTACTTTTGATATCTGAGTAGAATAGCTGGTAAATGCATCATGAAAGCGCTCTTCAAACCTGTATTCTTAGGCTACAAATGAATATGTACCTAAAAGCCTAACGGATCTCCCTTTCTCTTTCTCGATTGTGCTTTCTCTTAGCCAGGTACGCTACACAAGTATATGTTTTTGTATTCTCTAAGAAATGACTCAAGTGCTTAGCAAGCCAGGAGCCAAAAATATCATTTTAAACATTGGACAAGGGGACAATATATACAAAGACCATTTACAAAGCACGGTGGTGTAAACTGGAAGTAAATCCTCTGAAGTTTCTGGATCTTCATCAATGTCAATGAGAAAAGAATCAGGCAAATTTAGTGCAAGTAGCAGCAGATTAATTTCATTTTGACAAATTCCATCTAATGTACAGTGTACTTTTCATTAATATACTGTTAGTAGATGGAAAAATTAGTAAAAGAGATCAAGCAACAGGATTGGCCAGTTAGTGCTGTGACTATATGGATAGCAATGTATGGCTAGAAGAATCCCTCCTTCAGCTCAATATACCAACTATAGGGTAAATAATATTTTTTCTATTCATTTTCTATTTAGATAATTAGGAATATACTGCAACGAGAAGTGTAGCTGATTTTTCAAAAGCAGCCTCAAATCATTCTGAACCTTGTCTTACAGGTACTTTGCAAAGTGCTGTATACATTTGTTGTATCAGATTAATAATTAATTATACTGACCCAGCCTAAGGTCCCTTTGCACTCTTGTGGTGCAAAGGTGACTTAAAGCTGCGATAAGCAGGCAGCACAGCATTTCCCCTGGATTGGGGAATTCCCAGGTGGTGTGTAAATCCAGCTCTATACATTAAGATGGGAGCAATTCTCAGACAGTGCTGGAGCCCCAGAGAACCATTAAGAGTAGGCATAACTTACAGCACCCATGAGACTGCTCTCAGTTACACCAAGGCTAAATTATCTCTTAGCTGGCCTCATGATGAAGTAGGGTAAAGATGGTGTTAAGCCACCTTTGCTACCTAGATGAGCTGAGCCCATTTTTGTTACATCTGAGAACTGCACACACAGAAGATTATATATATATATATATTATCATGCAAAGAGATATTTGTCCATTTTTCTACTCTAAATACTAAGCCTAACATCTAAGTTTCTCCAAAGATTTCTCCAAAGAATAAGTGTGTATTACTTATAATAACTATTTTCTTCAGGTCCCTGAGATTTCAGTTTATTCATTCCTTTCTACCACAATATTTCCGTAAACTTTATGTGTAGTTAATATAGGAAATATATCCAACAAAACCTGGTACTAATTGTTTCTGATTAAACAAGGTAAATAAACTATGATATGGTTGATCAACATAAACAGTATCTGATAGTATGATACAGAAACAAGGTAAAAAAATATACAAACCATAACTTCTTTGAAAAAGTTGACATTTTGTAACTGTGCCAAAATAAATGGAAATAAAATATTAATTCACATTCTGTAATTAAACAAATTGAGGGAAGGGGATACAAGGTAGAGGCAAAACATTTCTAAATGCTTCACAGCAAGTCAAGGAAACTCCTTGGGTTCCCACAAAGCTTCAGCTTCTATTGCTGAGAACATTTCATTAAATCCTTTATACAAGGATTTAGTACAATCCAGAGTAAGTCAGAAGAGGGGTTTGTGGGCAAGGAGGTTATATAGTTTGTCAGAGCAGAGGAATGGGAGTTGGGACTCCTATAGTTTATTCCCATCTCTGCTACTGACTCATTGTGTGCTATTGTGGAAGCCACTGGTTTATCATGATATTCCTTAATTTTCTCATCTGTAAAGTGGACATAATACTATGCAGTGTTGTTGTAGCCATGTTGGTCTGAGGATATTAGATAGAGAAGGTGTGTGAGGTCATAGCTTTTACTGGACCAACTTCTGTTGGTGAAAGACAAGATTTCAAGCTTACACAGAGCTCTTCCTTCATTGTCTGTTTGTGTTGCACTGAAACAGTTTGACAATTTGACACAGAGTACTATGGACTGGTCGTGAAATAATGTAAAATCATAAACATTATATAAAAATGAAAAAAAAATAAAAATTAAAATTAAAATTAAAAAATTAAAAAAATATGAAATTCAAAACTGAAATTTTTCTTTTTATTTTGAAATTTTGTTCTATGGGAATTTTCATCACAATAGACACTTTTTTCAAATATTTCAGTATGATGAAAATGGCATTTTTCAATGAAAAAACATTTCGACAAAAAATTTCCAAACAGCTCCACCCACAAGGATAAATTGGTCTCATTACATATCCCATATATCTTAACATTAAAAGCAAACAATAAATACATTAAGGTTTACAGTGAACAAGGAAAACAGGAAGACTTGATTTGCAGGCAGAACTGGGCCTCTCTCTTTTTGCATCTAATTTTGTGGCTTCAAACAGCAATTTTGCCCAGATATCTAAACCCCTCATTGTGCCTATATGTCATGTAGATAGATCTTCAAGCAACAGAAATTGTTCATACAAATAATAGCAGGGACAAAATATTTCTTGCAACTATTTGCACCCACAATATGTTTCAAAATCTGACAATGACCGCACCGCACCTCAAGCCGGGGGGCCGTTGTCTAGCCTGTCAGGGGAAGTTGTGTACTTCTTTAAGGGCAAAGGCACGGAAGTTGCTGCAGACACAGATCAGGTCAGCATGAGGATGTTGACTCATCTTCTCCCCCTCCCCCCAGGGGGCTGGAAGAGGGGGGGTGGAAGTACATAGGTGCAAGCTGGGCGGGCTTGTAGGGAAGGAATACAATGATCAGATAAATGATTTGGTAAGGGATTTAAAAGGAGGTGTTTGTTAAAGGAACGGAAACATTGCGGGTTCTTGGCTTCAATAGTAGGGAGCCAGCCACCCTTCCATTACAGACCATCTCTTCACCCTCAATCAAAGTGGGGGGAGGATAAGGTCCCAGCAGCTAGTTGGCTGCGGAGCAGAATGGACGGGGAGGGTGGGCGGACAGAAGCCCCTGGGTAACTATTGAAATGATCATGGAGTCATCTGCACTGTAAAACTTTTATCTATTGGGTACCCCCAGACAGTTAATAATAAAGTTGCGGCCTAATTAAACCACATCCAGTGTCTCCTGCCCTCCTTCTGGTGAAGCCGGATAATGAGACTGCATTAACATTGTATGAATAACCTTTACTTTGGGAATTTCATGACTTTTGAGAGCTTAATTTTTCCAATCTTGGTACTAAATTATTTCTATTTTTTTATGTTTACATTTAATTTCCTTGGATCCTCAAAGCAAAAGTAAATAAATAAAACATAGAACTATTTGACTTGAGTTTGTTTATGCCAATACATTCCAGGATCTGTAGATACGATAAACTCATTTGTAATCCAACACGCTCCAATACAGCTGCCTGCAACTCACTGGGTTCCTTGAACCCTATTCAGCTTGCAAATGTTACAGGCTTTAGTACAATGATCCTTAATAAACATGTCCTTAACCCATGTTAATAAAGAGTTCAGAAACCTTCTAATATACACATACAAAATGGCCAGTTTTGATCAGAACACATATGAAATGTGTTCGCAAGCTAGAATAATTCAGAATGGGCTAAACTGGCTCACTTGTCAACATAAAAACAAAACAAAAAACCCCAACACCTCCACAATGAAACCAAACATGGCAATTTTCATAAAAAAGGAATCTGAGAAAGTTATGAGACAGGCAATTTATAATATAGCTTTCAGTAGCTGCTACCTGTGCCTGCAATATTAAGTTATTACTTTAACAACAAAAAGGGGATTTCTTTAATCAACAAGCCTCTGAAAGTAAAGGTGCTGGCATATGCTGCTGAAGACTTCCCATTACAGACCATCTCTTCACCCTCAATCAAGGTGGGGGGGAGGATAAGGTCCCAGCAGCTGGTTGGCTGGGGAGCAGGATGGAAATGAAAGAGAGATCCACGATCAAAACTTCACACTGTTTCACAGTTTAGAATAAATTCCCAGGCAGCTTTATAGAATGCACCGTTGGCTGACAATTATAGTCAAATCAAGGGACACAACTTTCTGGCAGTGTATAAGCAGTGGACCCTCAGGTCCATACACAATATCAGGGTGTTGGCAGCACAAACTTGCTCCCACTGAAACTTCACTGGAAGCAAAATTTGTTCCCAGCACTGGTAGCACTCATGGGCTAGAGGCTCTGCCTGGTTCACAAGCACAAATCACTAATTTAAGAATCTTAGGCAATCCTGATAAGTACAAGGAGGATGCCCTGAGAAGGCTGAAAGAAGAATTAGTATATATCTGTGGAGTTGCAGATGTGGTTCTTTCTGACTCTCCACTGTGTTGAGCCTTGTGCAGTGACACACTTTACCCATGTAAAATGTAAGCAAGTCAAAACAGCAGTGTTTTACACGTAGGCCTGGGCTACACTAGCAGGGGGGTTCGAACTAAGATACGCAACTTCAGCTACGCTATTCGCTTAGCTAAAGTCGAAGTATCTTAGTTCGACTTACCTGGCCATCCTCACAGTGGCGAGTCAACCGCCACAGCTCCCCTGTCGACTCCGCTTACTCCTCCTGATGAGGTGAAGTATGGGCATCGATTTGGGGATCGATTTATTGTGTCTAGACGAGACGCGATAAATCGACCCATGATACATCGAACACTACCCGCCGATCCGGTGGGTAGTATAGACGTACCCATAGTTAGACTGTAAGCGCCTCAGGGCAAGGACTGTGTCACCTTATGTATTTGTATAGTGTCTATCAAAATGGGACTTCAATCCTGCCTGGAGCTTCTAGGCACTGATTTTAATAATACTTTTTACTCACTTTGCACAGATATGATTATCTGTAGGACATGAATTTTACAGTAGCTAAACTCCTCCCCCACACCCATGATGACCCACCTTGGATGACTGTGTCCTGGATTTCTCCTCAGCTATGTGACCCTGTTAGTGTTCTAAAACTTTCCTATGTACCACGGACCGTCTTGACATACAGAGTACAAAAATAGGTATCTTCCTGGATTATACTCTAACATGGCTTAAACACAAGAAGAATTTTGCCACCTTAAAATGTTGTTTTTCATAAAGTGGGACCGAGCCTGTTGTATTTTATTCTGCTAGACTTCCCTCAAATGTTACATAAGCTTTAGGGACTGGCCATCAACACAATGAAGAAACAGAGGAGATGGACTCAGAGGCTCAGGATAAACACTGCTTAGGGCTTGGAGAAGCTTATATCCCTTCTTCTCTTTCCCACTCTCCAAAATGTTTGCATTAGATCAGGGCCTGGAACTATCCTGTGCAGGATTCAAGTTCTCAAGCCCGATGGATGTGGTCACCTGCTCACTGGCTCAATCCTACCCAGCTCCCTGCCTGCCAAGAAAAACTATTAAAAGTTGACACATGCCCAAATGCAGATTTGAAGTTACCTTTCTCTTTGCCACCAGTAGAGGGGTAGCAGTGAATAAATACTGCTATTGGACAGACAATGCTTCAGCACTGTTGAACCATTGCTTCTGACCCTCTGCTTGGTCTGAGCGCTCTCCATAGATGTGTGCATTTTGCATTAGGATGGGGAAGGGTGTTAAAGTGACAGTATTTTCAGAATATCTCTTTCATGTTTATTATACTTTTCAGAAATTCAGGAGTAGAGCTGGTCAGGAATTTTTTGACAAAAGATTTTTTTTGGTCAGACTATGCTGATTCTGCAATTGATCTTGGGAACGTTTCAGATTTGAAACTTTCATCAAGAAAGCTCTCTCGGATCCCGTATGGGACTTTCAGGTCAAAATATATATGAGAGAGTGAAAACACACATGCAAGCCTTTACCCATTCTGGAGTAGCCAATAGCCTGGGGGCTAAGGCACTCACCAGGGTTGGAAGAGACCTGAGTTCAAATCTGTACTCTACCTGATTTAGAGGAGGGATTTGAACATAGGTCTTCCATGTCCCAGGTGAATGCTCTAACAACTACCAGGTTATTGGCAATTGTGGGGTGTGGAGAACTGGGAGACATTCTGAACTGTCAGAAACAATTTACTGCCCAGCTCTATCCATCAGGCAGCAAAAGTTTCTAGAAAATGCAAATAAGCAGAAGTGAGAGAAGAGGCTGAATTGGAAGGCTCAGGAATTTAAGATTGGGAATGTTAAGCTGATGTGGTATTTTAATTTTGTTTTAGTACATTGAAGAGGTGCATCAACTTGAAATCTAGTCATTTCATAAATGAAATTTCAGTATCTGTCCCTAAATCCCCTGCCAATTTTTGTGGTTTTATGATCCTGTCTTTCGAGCCCTGCACAGATACAAAACTCGTATCCACATCCAATCCACAAAAAAAGGGCCACGGATAGAAAGTAGATGTCCGTGGATTTGCAGG